CGCGCCCTGGCCGCAGTCCGTGGAGCGGCGGCGACAGCGGGTGCGGGAGCTGGAGCGGGAGCTCGCCCAGAAGAGGAGTCGGGTCTCGGGGGCCGGCGACGGAGGGGGCGGCCGGGCCCGCATCGAGAAGATGAGCTCCGAGGTGGTGGATTCCAACCCCTACAGGTAACCCGAGGGGACCGAGGCGGAAGGGGGCAGACCACTGTCTCCGTGGTCGAGAGCGAGGGGCTCCCCTCCGGGTCCGGCCCCCTCGGCCTCTCGGTATCCATCTCCTGCTCTCGGGGTCCCATCTCCAAACCGGCAGAGCTATGTCGTATTCTTGGACAGAAGATGTTCTTTCTTAAATAAAATTAAATTAAAAAAAATTAAATAAACCCGAAGCGAGTCAGCATATGGCTGCTCCTGAGCCTGTTGAGGACATATTGTACCCAGTGTCCTGTTGTCCTTGCCGCTGTCAGTCCACCTCTCTCTGCGAACTTTCAGAAGCTGCTCTCAAATGCAGAGTCGGCTAAGGGTTTCTCAGTGTTTCTTAAATGGGAGCAGGCCTGGCAAGAGCGAGTGTAGATGTTACTGTGCTCTGTAACAAGTCAGATAACTCGGTTTTACCAGGCCTGCCTGTTCCTCTTCTTTCTTTCCTACAAGTGCTTGTCATTTCACCGGCAGAATGTACTGCAGTGGTGAACTGTGTAACTTTTGGCCAAAAGTCTGTTGAAGGTCCCCTACTTCACCCTGATGGCTAGGCAAATGCTTCTTCCTTACCAGGAAAAAAAAGACTAAAGATTTATTCTTTGGAGAGAGTGAAGTAGAGAATTTCTGTGAATAGTTGGGTCTTTGCACCTGACACAAGGGGTAAACTTGTTTACATATGGGATGGGATGCTTATATTCTGAATGCTGTGCTGGAGACATTCACTTCACCATTGAATTTCCAACAGCTGGCAGTCAGGTGTAAATAGCATTCAGCTTGGAGTCTGAGAAATTCTTCTTTAGAGAATCTGATAGAGCCAACAACAATAAAAAAAGACTTGAAAAATACTTACATGGGTTTCCCAGCTGAACAGCCGATCACTAAACAGAAGCTCTAAGTCAAACAAGAATTGCCCACATCCTTATATTTATACCTTTATTGGTGTCCCACTCTTAAATATGAACAGAACAAAAGAAAATAGCATATTAAATAGATTATGTATGGGAAACGTTCCTCCAAATTACTGGGTATTTGTTTTATTAAAGATATTTGTCTTAGGGTATATGAGCTCACCAGGCAGAGAGAGAGAGAGACAAAGACAGTGAGAGGGAAAGTGAAAAAAATCACACCCCAGAGGGGATGACCAGACCTCAATCCCTTCTCCTCCTGGGATCTTGGGTGGCACGCACACATGCCCAGTGTGAGTTTTGAGCCACCTGGTCCAAGACTCAGATTGTGGGCCATGTGGGAGTCCAGCTGCATAACCACTATGCCATCTGCTGGCCTCTGCAAGTTACCATGGATATCCCAACGTGAGAGAGCATATTGTATAAGTGAAATACAAACAAGAGGAACAAGGTGCTACGAAATCAGCTATCATTCAGATAATTAAGAATCCTCGTAAATGGAGATGGTAATAGAATGAAAATCTCAACAGAAGGGTTGGGAAATAAAGTTGAAAGAAATCATCTAGAGAATAGGGCAGGAAACTAAAATGATGGAAAATTGGGGAAAGAAAATAAGAGTAAAGGATCATTGTTGGAAGCACAATTTTCAAACAACAGGAGTTCCAGAAACACAGTATGAGAAAAATAAACCAAACAAGGTAATCACCAAATTGTTCACAGAAATTCATCAAAACAGAAAAACTTTGCAGTTGGAAAGAGTCCATCAAAGACCCAGCATAGTGGATGAGAATAGATTTACAAAGGCACATTGTGAAAAGTATCAGAAGCTAGAAGACACTGCACTTGAGACATTTGAAAGAAAATTCTAACTTTAGACTTGCATAGCAAATTAAGCTATCAGTTAAATGTTTCGTGTGACTTTCTACAATTAAGTCTTTAAATTGTCATTTTAGAAAAATAGAATTTTGATGAAGAATATTTTGAGACATGCAGGTTTTCAGTTTACCTTTGTTTTATTTTATTTATTTATTTATTTATTTATTTATTTATTTTGAGAGGATTTTACTATAGAGCACGTGCACTCACCAGAAAGACAGAGAAACAGAAAGCAAGAAATCACCCCCCAGGGGCGATGGCCATGCAGGAATTCCTTCTCCTCCATTCTCCTCTTGGGACCTTGGGCACACACACACGCCTGGTGTGACTTTAAACCACCAGGTCTGGGACTCGAACTGTGATCGACTACATCGGAGTCCAGCGACATAGCCATTACACCAACTGCTGGTCCCCACTTTAACTATGTTTTACCCTTTGTGAAGTTACCAGATAATATTCTTCCACAGTAATAGGAGAAATTAAGAAGTAACTATAGCACATCTTTCAAACTTTAGTGTGCATCAGAATTACCTGGAAGATTTGTTAAATCAGAGAATTCATAGTATAATGATGAATGGAAATCTCAGGAGGGTAGCTGTGTGTGCAGTAGTTTAGAGACACCTGGCCTGATTCTTGGAGCAACATCTTTGAGAAAATTAAATTGATAGAACACCTCATGCATATGAACATATGTAGAGGAATTTCAGACAACTAGAGAACAGTTGGAGTTGAATTTGTGAAAATTCATATTCATTCCATTTCATTAATGGGAAATTAAGCATAAGGAGAGACACAGTTACTAGCTTCAAGGTTAGGAAACAGTAGGTTCTTTATACGGCATGGCCCAGTTGCGAACAGTTAACATCTAACCAAAGTGATCACATAATTTATGGAGGCTGGTTGGATGGGAAGTATCTGTTTGCAGTGGGGACTGATGGTATGAATGAGATTTTCAGATAATGCCTAAAATTGAAAATCAAGAAATAAAAATGTTAACATATTATTTTGAGATATTATGGTAACAGAATTGAAAAGTGAGGGAGGAGAAGAAAATGGGGTGGGGACCAGAGGACTGCTGAATAGTCTAGTAAGCCTGTTAGAATGATGTGACATCTTAAAGTGTAACTAAATGGGAGATAGGTAGGTAGACAGACGTGTAAAATGGAATATATATATATAAATACCCGTATAAATTTTAAAAGTTAAGATAATACTGATAGAACAGATTAAGAGTAACTAGTTGAAGTACCTCTTCAAATCGTTGGCATAAAATGGGTGTTTACTAAAAGTAGACATCATACATTATGGGCAGAGGCCACAAGTGAATAGAATTCTAGCCTTGAGCTCATTCTGATGATGGTGAGTGTGAAAAGTTAAGTATTTACATATATTAACAAAGCATGGGAAAAGGTTGAAGTTTCACATTAACTCTTTTTTTTTTTTTTTTGGAGAGATTTTTGCTGTAGGGCGCATGCGCTCACCAGACAGACAGAGAGAGACATAGAGACAGAAAGCAAGAAATCACCCCGCAGAGGGGATGGTCACGCTGCAGTCCCTTCTCCTCTCGGGATCTTGGGCACGCACGCACACGCGCCTGGTGTGAGTTTTAAGCCACCGGGCCCGGGAAGTGAACCGTGGTCGACTACGTGGGAGTCCAGCGACATAGCCATTACGCTAACTGCTGGTTCCGTTTCACATTAACTCTTAATATTAAGTTTCGATCTTGGCTGTACATTCCAACATGTAAAGAGCTTTTCAAAACATCTGGTTTCACAGATTCTGGCTAGGAGCATCAGTGTTTTTAAAGCCACCACCTAATTCAATTTCATCTGATTAAGAAAACAGCTGAAATGGGACCGGCAGTTAGCGTAATGGCTATGTCGCTGGACTCCCATGTAGTCGACTGTGGTTTGCGTCCTGGACCCAGTGGCTTAAAACTCACGCTGGGCACATCTGCGTGCGTGCCCAAGATCCCAAGAGGAGAATGGAAGAGAAGGGATTGCAGCGTGGCCATTCCCCTGGGGGGTGATTTCTCACTTTCTGTCTCTCTGTCCCTCTCTGTCTGGTGAGCACACGCGCCCTATAGCAAAAACCTCTCAAAAAAAATAAAACAGCTGAAAGAGTACTCTTTTAAAGGATTTATGATTGTGTTTTGGTTTTTATCTTCTATGTTGATGTATGTCTGTGTCACTATTAACTAAATGATTGTAAGCTTTAAAACTTGTTTTCTTTAAGCCGCCTGATGGCATTGAAACGAATGGGAATCGTAAACGACTATGAGGTATGATAAACTTTTCCAGGTTTTTGAAGATTATTTCACATGACATGTTAGAAGAAGAGTTAACTAACAAACATGTATGTCTTTACTTGTATTTCACAGAAAATTCGTAGCTTTGCTGTAGCAATAGTAGGTGTTGGTGGAGTTGGTAGTGTGACTGCTGAAATGCTTACAAGATGTGGCATTGGTAAGGTAAAAACATTTCTCTTTGCCTATCATTTAGGGAAATACTCCTGGAGTAAATCAGGTACAAACTAGGATTTTCTACTCATCATTAATGGCTTACTATTTGTGATGTATTTATTCAGATTGGTCTTTCTTTCCAAAGGAATGAAACAGATCCATAACCAAAGGAAGCTGATAGTATTGCTAATTAAACAAGGACTATCTAATTGTGTTCAGGGACTTTTTTGTTTGCAGTAATGTGATGAGAATTTAAGAGTTCAGAGCCAGCAGATGACATGGTGGTTAAAGGTGCTGGATTTCCACATGGGAGACTGCAGTTCAAGTCCTGGACCTGGTGGCTTGCTTTCTCACTTGCCCTTTCTCTCTAATCAAATTTTAAAAAAAAAAGAAAGAAAGAAAGAAAAAAGTTGGAATTAAATAAATAATTATTTTAAAAAAAAAGAGTTCATGGAAAAATGGAATTAAAGATACCAATTTATTTGGTGCCAAAAATGTATTCTATGCAAAAGTGCATCATAGCTTTTCCAACAATCCAGTATAAACAATGTAGACTAGTATTTTAGATAAAAAGTTTAGGAAGGAAGCCATAAATTAATAAAGTATGTGAGTGAAACACTGAAGCATCTAACAGGTATCTTAATAAACACAAGCTTATACCAGACAGACTAGAAAGCATGTATCTTTCTTACTGTTGAATTTGAGCTAGAGAATACTCTGGATTTTTTTTACCCGAATTTTTTTCTTTTTTCTAAAATTAATTTGTATTGTGGTTAGAAGGAAAAATATAACCTTATTTGAGAATTCAGTCTCCCAATCTTAGACTTAAAAAGCCAGTCTATGATGTTAGATACATAGTCACTGGATAGATATGCTTTCCATAACTGTACGCACCTTATGTTGTCGTTGGGTAATGCCTACATACCCCTACAAATTTTTGTTGACACGCCCCACTCTTAAAGTGATTTTTAAAATTGCACTCATCAATATAGAAAAGACAGCACTAAAATACTAAAATGCTTATTAAAATTTTAATATCAATCAAGAGATTTAATAAAAGTACACCAAAAATCACTTTTGGTTGATTGGCTAGAGATACTGGAAATCACTGAGATCAGTGCTTCTCAAGTTTGAGTCTGTTATCAGAGTCACTGGGAAGGCTTGTTAAAGCACAGGTCAGAGGACCTAACCCTGGTGGTTTTGATCCACCAGTTATTAAGTGGACTTAATCATTGAATATTTTTAGCAAGTTCTGAAATGACCCTGAGGATATTGTTCCAGTGACTACACTTTTTACTTTTTTTTTTTTTTTTTGAGAAGTTTTTGCTATAGGGCGTGTGTGCTCCACAGAAAAACAGAGAGAGACAGAAAGCAAGAAGTCACCCCCCAGGGGGGGTGGCCACCCACAATCCCTTCTCCTCCATTCTCCTTTCAGGATCTTGGGCACACGTACGTACGCGTGCACACACACACGCCCAGCGTGAGTTTAAGCCACTGGGTCCAGGACTCGAACTGTGGTCGACTACATGGGAATCCAGTAGACATAGCTGTTATGCTAACTACTGGTCCCATCCAGGAACTACACTTTTTTTTTTTCTTTTTTTTGGAGAGGTTTTTGCTATAGGGCACGTGCACTCGCCAGACAGACACAGAGAGACAGAAAGCGAGAAATCACCCCCCAGAGGGGATGGCCATGCTGCCGTCCCTTCTCCTCCATTCTCCTCTCGGGATCTTGGGCACGCACGCACGCACACGTGCCCAGCATGAGTTCAAGCCACTGGGTCCAGGACTCAAACCACGGTCGACCATGTGGGAGTCCAGCAACATAGCCATTACACTAACTGCTGGTCCTCAGGGACTACACTTTTAAGGAGCACTGGAGCCTTGCTACTCCAAGGTTGGTCCTGAAGTAGTAGCATCAGCATCACATGTGAGCTTGTTCGAACTCAAAGCTCTCAGGCCTTACGCAGACATACTGAATCAGAATTTATATTTATCAAGTCCTCAAATGATTCCTGTACATATTAAAGTTGGGGAAGAAGCCTGATGACACAGCAGTAAAATGTGACTTTCTGTAAGACTGACCCACATGGAGGCTTCTGGATTTATGTCCAGGGACCTCCCTGAGTATGCCATGATCCAGGACTGGCTAAGGTTGGAGTAGATGACAGTTTCAGAATCCTGTTGGGGATTCTCTTCCCACCTCTTCTCTTTTACATGGATAAATGAAATTAACTAAAAAAAAGGAAAACATGGGCAAGTGCTCATTCCCCTCTAATGAGCTCCAGGTGATGCTGATGCTGCTGGACCAGGCCATATTTTGAGTTTCAGAGACCTTGAACAGTAGTTAGCAAATGTTGCTATCAGTACAATCACCTGGGAAGTTTAAAAAAAAATTTCCAGTATCCAGACTTCCTCCCATAATAGGTAAATCAGAATCTCGGGAGATAAAATACAGGCATCTTTATTTTTAAAATCTTGAAGTGACTCTAGTATGCACTCAAGTTTGTAAACTAAGAATTTAAATAGGTAAGTTGCAGGAACTCTTCACTTTGGTTTTTTTGGGGGGAGAGGTTTTCGCTATAGGGCACGTGCACTCGCCAGACAGACTCAGAGAGACATAGAGACAGAAAGCGAGAAATCACCCCCCAGGGGGAAATGGCCATGCCACAATCCCTTGTCCTCAATTCTCCTCTTGGGATCTTGGGCACGCATGCACACACACCCAGCGTGAGTTTAAGCCACCGGGTCTGGGACACAAACCATGGTCGACTACGTAGGATTCCAGCGACATAACCATTACGCTAACTGCTGGTTTCCAGGAACTCTTCACTTTGTAAAGCAGATAAATGAGAAGCTAATTCATGGGGTTAAGTATAAGGGGAAGAGAAACGGGGAGACTCAGAGCCCATTTATTATCTCTATAAGTACCTGGAATCCTGTGACAGTATCCGGAGTGCCTTGGATCACAAGATTTCAGTCAGTTGCTTTATTTTACCAATGAGAGCATAGGCCAAAAAAAAAAAAATGAATATTTACCTACAATCAAAACCAGTTAGTGACAGAGTTACAGCTCATACCTGTTCTCAAGTTAAGTATTTCCTGCAACTTCTAAACAAACTATGAGGCAAAAATTTAAAGTGAATACCTGATGCAACCTAATACATATTTACTGAATATGCTTAAACAGAGATTCTAAATAGGGTTATAAAATTATCAGCTGGCATGTTGAGAGATCTTTTCTAGTAAGATATTTAAGGTTTTGTGGGTATTGTTATGGGCTAAGTTAATTTTTCTGTAAAAATCCCATTTTGTTTTTATTATCAAATTTAGGATGCTGGGTATTATAATACAAAGTCACAGAATTTTAGGTCAATTCTTGACTTTAACCTTATTCTTACCATTTTAAATACTGTGCGTGTGTGTGTGGGGGGGGTATGTATGAAGTACTGTTTGAAACGAGCTTAAGACTACAGTTGGAAAGCCCTTGACATTTGATAGAAAGTGGACGAATACTCAAGATTTACTTCTAGTGAAGCGAGTCAATCTATGAAGAAAGTCAATCTATGAAAGAGAGACATAGTATGTCCCCACTTAATGTATACTGAATGTCCACACTGTATGATGGAAACGGAAAGATTGGAGGTTATAGAAGGATGGAAAATGGTTGCAGTTACTGGAATGCAGTATGGGAAGAGGGAGGGTGAGAGGAAGGGAATCAAATAGAAAAACAGAGAGGTAGTGCATGTGGGGGATGCAGAAGTGGAGGACCGTTGATGATAGTGTGTGTGATATCTTCAGCAGGTCTGGCGTGCAGTGTGTTCATGCCTGGAAAATTCATTTTACAAGCTGTGTTGATGTACAGTGATTAAATGAATGAAATGTTAAAAAGACTATAGTAGGAGCTGATCAGTTAGTGATTCTCTTTGTAATAATGTTTTAACTGTGGCATTTATATATACATATTGTGTCATTCACAAAAAGAATCATTGGGTTATCCTATAGTTTTAAATTACAGATTCGTTTTTATTTTATTAAAGATTTTATTTTCCCACTGGGTTCTTGGATTTTAGCAAAACTTTGGAATGAAGTTGGACTTTGGCACTGTCTTTAAAAATTGAAATGATATTGGATGAACTTTAAATTCTCAGAGAGGCAGCATGGCATTAAGGTTAGGGTATAGACACTGGATTGAAAATGCCTGAATTTGAATCTGACTTCCACTACATACTAGCTGAGTAGTCTTTGGACAAGTGCCCTAGTTGCCTCATTTCTAAAATAAGGATATTAGTATCCACGTATTTACCTCACATGGGTGTTCAATGAATTAATATATGCCACCTAATGTTTTAGAGTTAGCTAAACTTACTGTCAAACTATTAAATCCATCACATGTAAAGTCCACTCATTTAGTCTTTGTTATGTTTAGTTTTTTGGTATTTTTTCATTGGAATACTGTTATTTTCATTTTAGTTGCTACTCTTTGACTATGACAAGGTGGAATTGGCCAATATGAATAGGCTTTTCTTCCAACCTCATCAAGCAGGATTAAGTAAAGTTCAGGCGGCAGAACACACTTTGAGGTAAGTAGGATAGCAATTAATGACTATATTCAATGAGATCTCACTTTGTCTATTTGGCAGGAGTTAACCTAATATGTAAATTGACTTGAATCTTTCTCTATAAAACTGCTTATTTCACTTATACAAGGAATTTTCTTACCACTTGCACAGGGGTTAGCAACCTTTTTCTGTGTAGGGCGAGGTAGATATTTGAGTCTTCCAGGGACCTGGCACAGCTGCTCAACTAAGGAATTGTATCATGGTGCTGACTGTAAACAACACAAAAATAAGTGTGCGTGTCTGTGCTGATAAAACTTTATTTGGGGGCTCTGAAACTTAAATGTCATTTAATTTCTACATGCGAGGAAATAGGTTTTTTTTGACATTTCTTAACTGCTTAAAAATGTAAAATCCAAGGCTGGCAGGTGGCACGGTAGTTAAGGGCCCTGGACTCCGACATGGCCAACTGCAGTTTGAGTCCCGAACCTGGGAGCTTGCTTTCTCATTTCCCCCCCTTTCTGTCTCTCTCTCTTGTTTACTCTGACCATCTCTGGTCAAATTAAAATAAATAAAATAAATAAATAAAGTTAAATAAAATAATTCTTTTTTTAAAAATGCATTTGTAGCATGCAAGCTGTACTAAAACAGGTCAGATTTGGCCCATGGGCCGTAGTTTGCCAACCTCTGCTCTAGGAACTTTCTTTGTGGTCCCTAACACACCTGTACTGAATTGAATAAGAAGCAAAGAAACTCTTTGCGCAGGCTGAGCAGTAGCTGCCAGGATTTGTAAAGACTTAATTCCCAGCACACAGAGTAACCCTAGTTGTGATGGAAGTATTTTTGTAGTCCTGTGACAGTGTGCAAAGTTTTGGACTCACACAGTTTATTCCTGAAGTGTGGTAAGACAGGTAGATAAGGACTTGAGATTTCCTTTGGATAGCTTGAATTCTGGTTCTTTAAAGTATGTTAAATGCTCTTCAGCACTTTCAACTTTTCTATTCATACTAGTAGTCTTTATAATCACTTTCTCATTCCTCTTAGGAACATCAACCCTGATGTTCTTTTTGAAGTACACAACTACAATATAACCACAGTGGAAAATTTTCAACATTTCATCAATAGAATAAGGTAAAATTTGGGACCAGCCACTGGTGTGTTGGTTAAGACAGTTGGATCCCATATGGCTGACTACGATTTGAGACTCTGGCCTGGTAACTTGGAAAAAATGTTGGGAATGTGTGCGTACATGCCCAAAAACCTATGAGGAAAATTGAAGGGAAGGGAATGCAGTATGTCCATCCCCCCTAGAGAGAGTGTTTTCTCACTTCTCAATTCTGGCAAGCCCATGTGCCCTCTAGCAAACCTAAAAAAAAAGGTAAAATTTTTATTTATGAATAGTTTGTACTATGTCTGGTTTCTACTATGTCAGCTAAGTATTATCAGAAAAACCTATTGGTTATGACAGTGAATTGGTAGAATAATATATATTTTTCTGTTTAAAAAATAGTAATTTTGTGTCATTTTAATGTATTAGGAGTGCAGTGAAAAAGTATTTATTGTCAAAAAAAAAAGGCAAAAGTAAAATTTCTATAAATTACAGTGTTACAAGGGATCCTCAATTTTCTTTTCTTTTCTTTATTTTTATTTTTTTGAGAGGTTTCTTTTTTGCTATAGAGTGCATGCACTCACCAGAAAGACAGAGAGAGGAGAGAGACAGAGGGACAGAAAGCGAGAAATCACCCCCCAGGGGGGATGGCCATGCCGCAATCCCTTCTCCTCCATTCTCCTCTTGGGATCTTGGCACATGCAACCGGCGTGAGTTTAAGCCACTGGTTCTGGGACTCGAACTGCAGTCAACTACATGGGAGTTCAGCTACATTGCCATTACACTAACTGCTGGTCTCAGAGATCCTCAACTTTAAGTTCTGTATTCTCCATTATATTCGGTGGTTGGGAAAGTCATGACGCATTTTTATATAGAAAAAGGTAGAACAACATCATGACTTCCTCGACAACATAATATTACTGTGTGATAGGTGTTTTCCAGAGACTGTGAGGACACCATTAAATCATGAAATGCATTCCATTAAAAATCTGTGAAAGCTGGGAACCAGCAGTTAGCGTAATGGCTATGTCGCTGGACTCCCACGTAGTCAACCACAGTTCGCGTCCCAGACCCGGTGGCTTAAAACGCATGCTGGGCGTGTGTGCGTGCATGCCCAAGATCCCGAGAGGAGAATGGAGGAGAAGGGATTGCAGTGTGACCATCCCCCCTGAGGGGTGATTTCTCACTTTCTGTCTCTATGGCTGTCTCTGTCTGTCTGGCGAGCGCATGCGCCCTATAGTGAAAATCTCTCCAAAAAAAAAAAAATCTGTGAAAGTTGATAGCAAAATGGTAACTTTCATGAACAGAATGATACTTCCTTCATCCTTGTATTTCTTTTAAAGGACTATTAGATGTTACAGTATAATGAGTTACTCAACACTCAATGTATATGGGATCTTTAATATTAAATACTTACTGTGTTATACTCAGACATTTCATGAATAAATGGATGACTGAACAAATAAAATCTAATTAGAATGCATTTCGTATTCTGATTTTTTAAAAATAAAATTTATTTCCTTTAACTAGTAATGGTGGTTTAGAAGAAGGAAAACCTGTTGATCTAGTTCTTAGCTGTGTGGACAATTTTGAAGCTCGAATGACAATAAATACAGTGAGTATTTCTGTTGTGTAAGAGGGTACACTCATGGGTTTAACTCTAATTTTCTTGTATGTTCTTTCAGTATATAATTTCTATCCTAAATATAATTCTGAATTTAAATCCTTTTATGTGCTTTGTTTTTAATGTTCTCTTAGCTTACTTTTAGTCTAATAGCTATAAGACCTGTGTACTTGCCAGTGTGACGTATTTTGTAGTATCCAACTCTCTTTATGCCAATAGAATAAACTGTAAAATAGGTAGTACTTCTAATGGATACATTTTTTTTTGGAGAGATTTTTCACTATAGGGCGCGTGCACTCGCCAGACAGACAGAGACAGACATAGAGACAGAAAGCGAGAAATCACCCCCCAGGGGGGATGGTCACGCCGCAATCCCTTCTCCTCCATTCTCCTCTCAGGATCTTGGGCACGCACGCACACGCGCCCAGCGTGAGTTTTAAGCCACCAGGTCCGGGACGCGAACCACGGTCTACTATGTGGGAGTCCAGCGACATAGCCATTACGCTAACTGCTGGTTCCCTCTAATGGATACTTTTAAAATATACATTTATGTTTCATAAATATAAATTTGATCAGCATTGGTCTTAACTTTTTTATTTTGCCAAATATACATATGAATCACTTAAGAAACTGGTTTCTCAAAAGTAAAAAATAATTTTTGGGAACCAGCAGTTAGCGTAATGGCTATGTCGCTGGACTCCCACGTAGTCGACCGCGGTTCGCGTCCCGGACCCGGTGGCTTAAAACTCACGCCGGGCACGTGTGCGTGCGTGCCCAAGATCCCGAGAGGAGGATGGAGGAGAAGGGATTGCGGCGTGACCATACCCTCTGGGGGTTGATTTCTCGCTTTCTGTCTCTATGTCTCTCTGTCTGTCTGGCAAGCGCACACGCCCTATAGCGAAAATCTCTCCAAAAAAAGAAGTAAAAAATAATTTTTAATTTTTAATTATTGTTTTTAACTTTCCTAATAGTACTTTGGTATTTTTTTTTGTTGGCGAATTATTTTAGAAAAATAAATTTATTCTGGTAAGAAAATCCCATAAACTGTGGTACAGTTTAATAAATGCACATTGAGCTAGTGCTATTGCATAGGTGTTTAAGGGAACTGGATTCCATATGATTGACCATGGTTTAAATCCTGGTGCTGGTGGTTTGGAAGACATGCTAGATGTGTGTGCATGCATGTTCAAAATCCTGATGTGAAGGAGAAATGGAGGAAAAGGATTGTGGCAGTGACCATGCCCTACTGGGGGAGTGGGTGCTTTCTCTATGGCGAGTGGATGTGCCCTCTGACAATAAAAATAAATACATGCATATATACCTATTTACTGACTGCTTCTTGAATACTGTCACTTTACTCTTTAAATAGAGTGTGATACTAACTGAAGAATTTCATTATTTACAGCTTTCCTCATTTATTCTCAAAATAAATTTTAAGAAATCCCTGGTAATACCTAGGAAATCTGAATTATTCATGAAAATAATTTATAGTAAATTACTTGTTATTCTTTCTTATGTTTTCACGTATTTCTATTAAGGCTTGTAATGAACTTGGACAAACATGGATGGAATCTGGTGTCAGTGAAAACGCAGTTTCAGGGCATATACAGCTCATAATTCCTGGAGAATCTGCTTGTTTTGCGGTATGCATTATTTTTTTGGATTGTTTTTCTTTATTAGGTAATTGAATTCTTACATGCATTGAAAATATATCATAGTTCAAAGAAAAACAAACTTAAATGTGATGGAATACTGTTCGGAACATCTTAACTTTTCCCCTCTTCTGAAATGTGTTTTCTTGTAACTTTTCTCATGTAGTGTGCTCCACCACTTGTAGTTGCTGCAAATATTGATGAAAAGACTTTGAAACGAGAAGGTGTTTGTGCAGCCAGTCTTCCTACCACTATGGGAGTGGTTGCTGGGATCTTGGTACAAAATGTATTAAAGTAAGTGAAGGATATTTTTTTTTCATGTTTTTATTTATTTATTTTAAAGACAGGCTCTTGCCATGTCATGATCCGCCTATCTCAGCCTTTCAGCTGGGACTACAGGTGTATGCCATCATGCCAGATTGTTTAAAACAGTTTTGCTGTTGCCCAGGCCAGCCTCAAGCTTGTGATTCTCCTGCCTCAGCTTCCTCAAGTCATTAAGAGTACAGGGACACAGGTCTATGCTCCCCCTCTAGGTTGACAGGGGAATTAAACCCTGGACTCACATGTGGTCCCAGCCTGTGAAGCTCAGCATCTTAGCAGTGAGTGCCAGTGTGCTGGGATAGTTTTGTACACTTTTGATCAAAATGAATATATTTTGTGAAGGATTTCAAAAATCGAAATTATCATCTAAGTATTTATACAGTATTTAGTTTTTAAATATATTTTATATATGCTATATATGTGTATGTTTTATTTAATACATATGTATAGTTACAATTTATATATAAATACATATGTGCATATTCATCATAAATCTATATAGATGTCAGTTACTCCCTGCATTTAGAATAGCTGTTTTCAAATGTACAGTGATACTAGTGTATTTATTTATGAAGCATTAACTAAATGATTTAAATCTCTGCATATTTGACCAAAGATTAGAGACTTAGGCATAAATACACTTGCTCTCACTATCTTGATATAAAATTTATTAAAAATAATCTGAAGGTAATTTAACATTATCCAAGATAATATCTCTGCTATACACATTATTTACTAGCAACTATATTACTATTTTAACTATAGCCAAAAAGAAGAGAAAAGGTTTCTGTGCAGCTAAAATTTATGTGAAAGAGTTCATGAATCAATTCACACTTTCTCAAAGGCAGAGCAGTGGGCCAGCAGATAGCATAGAGGTTAAGGCAGTGGATCGCATATGGCTGACTCTGTGGTTCAAGACCCAGACCCAGCAGCTTGAAAAATCAGTGGGTGCATGTGCACGTGTGCTCAAAATCCTGAGAGGTTAATGAAGGAGGATTACAGGGTGGCCATCCCCCTTGGGAGTGCCTTGCCACTTTCCATCTGTCTCTAGTGAGCACATGTGCCCAATAGCAAAAATTAAAAAAAAAAAAAAATACAGAACGCCTTTAGGTGTTTCCTACCTATGGCTACTCCCCCCCCCCTCACTTCACAACTTTAATAAGCTTAGATATGTTTTGTGAGCCCTTAATAAGAATAAACTGCACCTTGATACAGAGGTACCCTGTGTCAGTAAGTATCAGATAGCAGCAAAGAAACTGAAAAAGTACACATAAGAATTCTCAATGTAACAGCCTAGAGCTAGTTCATGTAAGAACAGCCTGTACAAACTTCAGTAGGTGCTGTCTAAACAAAACATTTTATAAGTATGGTACCAAAAAAGAGAAAAAGAATCATGGCTACAAAATTATTCTCTTAAAGATGTATCATATTTTGCCAGCCTCCTGTTGGTGGACATTTAGGCTACTTAAAATTTTTTTGTTGTTATTAACAGTGCCATGATCAGGAGGTTTTAACACTTTTCCCACATTTTAACGTCTGAAATCAGTGCACTTCTTAAAGTTGTCGACATGACATGTCATAGTTTTCTTTTTACTACAGATTCAAAATTTAACAGTGCATTCTACATTTATAGATATCTTGGATTCATCTTTTGAATATAGTACTAGATGATTGTACA